CGGGCCGGGGGTTTGGCTCGGGGAGCCGTGAGTTTCTTCTGCCGGGCCCCGGATCTCGGCCTCGGTCCTGCCGAGGAGGCCATGGCGCTTCGAGGCGCCCAGAAGGTGCTCTGCGTGGCGGAGAAGAACGACGCAGCCCGGGGCATCGCGGACATCCTCTCGGACAGCAGGATGCGGAGGGTAGGGGGCGCGACAGCCCGCTTGGCGCCCCGCGTCCCCGAGCGCGAGGTTCCTGCTGGCCCCGGGTGCGTGGGGTGGCTTTACAGGAGCCGGTTCGCTCGAAGCCGAGGTGAATGCCCGGCCTGGTCGTCCGAGTTCCAGTTTATAAGACGAACCAGGATCACGCCGGCGTCGGTGTGGAATTCAGACCTTAGTACCGCCATCAGTCCTGTGCAACAGCTGCTGAAGTGCGCAGAATCTGGGAGGATCGCAGGCATTTCCTTCGGTCCATCCTGATGGGCCGGAAAGCTGCAAACTTACGTCCAGTCCAGTGCTGCTTAAGTTGGAGAGAGGGACCCTCAAGGGGCAATTTGGGCACATTGTGGGAGTAATGCAGCAATTTGTAATGGCTTCTTTGTGAGCTGACGATCTAGTTTGGGACTGCTGCTGCTGCTGAGATGTTTGAGTAAAACAACAGAGTCTGGGATTTGGCAGGGGTGGCGGTGGGCAACGGCTTTATTCGAGACTGGGAAAGGGGGTAATTGGATCAGGCGGTCTAGGAACCTCTGGTCCAGTCAAATTCTACGTGGAGCCGATCGTAGCAAAGTTACATTCTGCATATGCTGTAGATATCACGGCTTACTGCACGATAGCCATATCCATCCCGATTTTAGAGATGTTTCTTGGGGTATTTATCTGAGATACGTATTGGTTATTTGGTTATTTTGCTAAGCTGCTTTCTGATGGACTAGAATTGCTTGTTTTTCTTTCTAGAGAGAAGGAATGTCCAAGTTCAACAAGATCTATGAATTCCAGTATCTCTTGTTTGGCCAGGTTTGTGTCAAACTGTCCATCAGTTCTGTGTGTGCTTCTTATCACTGCATAAAATAACCATGGATACAACAGTGATATTAAAATGATTCTGATTTTGTAATATTTATGTACTGAAAACCAAAAAATACAACAAAGGGGCAAAACGTGAGGCATAAGTGTTGTAATCTTCTTAATAATGAGTCTAGGAGGATTTAAAAAATGGGTCAGAGACTGTATAGATAGGAATCCACTTTTGCAAGAGAGCATTTAGCATTGCCAAGGATAATTTGCATTACTCTGTTTTATTCAGAATGTAACTTTGATTATGACATCTGTGTCCGGACATTTACTGGTTCACGACTTTAAGTCACCGTTTCGGAAATGGTACGTACCGACAGGTCAGAAAGGATAATTAACTTTCTGCGATCATACAATGAGATTTTGAACAACAGCAGAAGTAATCATCGTTATAGGTGTAGCCATGTTTAGAATCTGGATAGCGTTTCTTTAATCCCTTGTTTTTGCCTGCTGTCTTTTTCCTATATGACTTCCTTGGATGCTCTTCCAACAGGCACAGCTGTAACCCTCTGGTCCTCTTTGATGCAGAACTCGAGAAATTCTGCCCTGAAAACTACATGGACATTAAGGTTTGTGCTGCCTACAGCCTCCTGTTTTAATAAGAGGCAAAGGTATCCTTTATCCTTTTCTGTGGCTATAGTCTCTGACTGACGAACTTTTCCTCTTGCACTTCTCACTAAGATGATCTTCTTTGATGCTACCTTGGCAACCAAGTTAGGTAGTCCAATTTGAGATTTATCTTCCACATTGACTCAGAACCTATCTGCTCCTAATCCTGTAGAAATATCACTGCAGCTCCTCTTGCTTACAGAAGATCAAAAATACTGGAGATTGTGAACTTACTTGTAAACCTACGTGATGGGGAAGGATATAATTCCTAGCTGTTTAAATATAATTGATGTGTTTTTCTGCTAGGCCACATATGACAAGTGCCATATCCTTTTGACCTGAAATTAACTGCTAGAAAACTGTTTAGCATATCATCCAAAATGATACACAGTATAAGAGATGAAAAACATGTTGGTTTGTTTCTGAAAATACATGTGAATTGTGTACCTGGTTAGACTCTACTGACAAAAAAAATGAAAACCGTGAGTTATTGTACTGTACAAACATCATTCAGCGTTATCTAACCTGGCATTCTTCAGAAATGTTAAACTATATAGCTTGGTATCCCCAACCCTGTTTCTACTTCATGTTGTGCCTCAGTGCACCTGTGAGTGTAAGGGTGATACATCTTACATATTTAGAAGCTTGAATTATTCTCAAATGCCAGTTGATGTCCAGATTCTAACCATGGACATAATCCGAAATATCTTCGACAACTCTTGGTTTATCTCTTATTTCAGAAGTGTGGCTGTTTCTCCCCTATTGTTTCATATTGCTCTCCTGTTACCAATTCCAGCGTACCCTTGAGCGAGAAGTTCTGCAGTGCCAGGCCCTGGTGATCTGGACTGATTGTGATCGTGAAGGGGAAAACATTGGCTTTGAAATCATTCACGTTTGTAAAGCAGGTGTGTGGAGATAGGGAGAAGGGCAGGGCATTGGGTTTCCTGATTCACAATCCTAACATGACTCTCCAGAACAGAACTTTTGGCCAAGGGCAAGCATAGAAGCCATACAGTTTTTATCTAACTGGGTTGAGTCCCTGAAGGTTCTGCTGCTAGCTACTTTCTGATGGGGGAGTAGGGCAAGTAGCCGAAGAGTCATGAATCATGGCAGTCTGTGGGAAATCTGACTGTTTTAATCCCAGGATTCCTCCACGGGAGACCATAGGTTCTCTTTTGCATTCCAGTGCTGTCCTACCACTCTGAGTAAGAACACCTTGAGCAAATAAAAATTAGGACTGTGCTGCAAAGTGTGCGAACAGTGAGCCATACGGTTCTCCTTTCTCTTTGCCCCACAAGTTTAAGTAATTCCATAGAAACTCCCTGGGTGACTCCAGGCCAGACACTGTCTCTCAGCCCAACTTCCCTGCCAGGGCTGTTGTGGGAGGAGAATGAAGAGAATCTCCTCCCCACCACCCCCTTTGTAAGTCTACTTGACCTTCTGGTGGGTTGTAGCAAGTAGATGCTTAGAAGGAATTGAGTTTTAAACCAGTACTTGGTATGGATCCATTCTTAGACTGGAAATGTGGGGTGCTAATTTTGAAAAGGAGAGTCCTGGAAATTATCTTTTTGGTAGTCAGTGATTAAGTGAAAGGGGTAGCAGTCTGTGGGCCAGGGCTTAGAGAGCAATCCTCCATTAGCTCTTGAGCCCAGCGTGCCCAAGCAGTCAGTACGAATTCTGTTTTTTCCAGGGGACCTCTCAGACCGCGTCCATTACTGAGATTAAGAACATCCTCCAAGTCCTGATTGAGAGGTTTCTTTCTCTGGAACGCTTTTGACTAAACGCACTTTGAACCTTTCTTTTGACAGTGAAGCCAAATCTCCAGGTGTTCCGAGCCCGCTTCTCAGAGATCACACCTCGGGCCATCAGGTCCGCTTGCGAGAACCTCACCCAGCCAGATCAGAATGTCAGCGACGCTGTGGAGGTGAGACAAGAGCTGGATCTCCGAATAGGTAAGAGAGGAAGAATCATGGGCAGTTCATAGAGCCAAATGCTGGCTTGAGATGCTGAGGAAAATGATGCAACCAAACATCTGGCTTATAGTTAGCTTGATCTGCATGGGTTGGCTTTCCTAAAACCAAACACTTTGGTCTGGTAGCTGATGATTAAAGTTGTTTTTTTTTTTCCTTTGAGTCATGATGTTGCTAGCCTTTCAGAAGAGTTGCTATCCGTCACTGGGCCTGTGCAATAACTCCTGCCTCTCCCAATATGGCTGGACACATTGTAGTTTTCTTTTCACATTGGACCTTGATTTTCTGCCTCTCTGACCAGGGGCTGCCTTTACACGGTTCCAGACATTGAGGCTTCAGAAGATCTTCCCTGAGGTATTAGCAGAACAACTAATCAGCTATGGGAGTTGTCAGTTCCCAACTCTGGGCTTCGTGGTGGAAAGATTCAAAGCTATTCAAGCCTTTGTCCAAGAAACATTCTACAAAATTAAAGGTAGGGTTCAGCACATTAAGCACAAGCAGGAAAACATCTGGACTGTGAAATGTATAGTGGGCAAATACTCTTCATTTCAATCAAATTGCATTTTCTGCTTAAAATGCATAAGAGCTAAAAACCACCTGGGCTTACCTGCCATTTCCATCTTTTTGATGATTTTGGACTTCAGCAGCTGTTGAGTACAATCTCCTTCCTACCATACAGGCATCTTCCTGTAGCTCTAAGCAGAATGGTGCCACAGATTGCCTTGGCAATGCTGAGCCTTGATTTATCTTCTCCCTGCAGTGATTCATGACCACGAAGAGGGTACCGTGGACTTCAGCTGGAAGAGGCATCGTCTTTTCAACCACACAGCATGCCTTGTTCTCTACCAGATGTGCATGGAGGTAGGCAATGAAGCAGTCCTGCCTTCTTCCTTTTTTCACTTTGCCAGGACCAGTGAAGAACGTTGTCTTCCTGCTTGGGTTTATCTTAGGCTCCTGTGGCTACCGTTGTGGAGGTTGGAAGCAGACCGAAGAGTAAATGGAGACCTCTGCCGCTGGACACTGTGGTATGCTTTGGAAAAAAACGTGTTTAAAGTTAGAATAAGAAGAGCTCTCGGTTGAGCTTCTGATCCAAACCCCCTTACTTATGGTAGATCCTCTCCTGGAAGCCTCAAGTTAGATGTTTGGAGGAGACAGGGAAGGGACTAAATCTGAGAAATGTTTTGACCTTGTCTGGTGGGAACTCCATCCCCAGCAGCAAAATTCATATTTTCATCATGGAAATGTGTCACTGTAAGAATTGCCTAATTAGTTGCTGGGTTGGGAGAAGTTGGGCACCCTTGTGTTCCCGATTCTAGGAATCCTGTTTATTTTATACGGGCAGGGGGCGTCAAAGGCCTCTTACCGTGCAGGGACCAAGCATAGTTTTCCTCCCCTTCTTCTGACACAGGAACTTGAGAAATTGGCCTCCCGTAAACTGAAAATAAATGCCAAGGACACCATGAAGATTGCCGAGAAGCTTTATACCCAAGGGTAAAAGCAGCTGTTCTTCTGTGGGTAGCCCAGTGTGGGATGAGGCCTGCAAGTGGTGAGGGAGCTCTGTGTTGTGTGAACCCAGATAGGATCAGGAGGGTGAAAATTGGTCTCCTAAGAGGAGAGGCGAAGGGAACTGGGTAGCCACTGAAGCTCTGGGAATGGTGACTGGGGAGAGGGGTTGGGACTAGGGGAGCTCTCTTCAAGTGCCTGACAAGGTGTTCTGGAGAAGAAAGAACAAGGCCCTGGAGTCTCCTCTTTGGAATGGCCTGTAAACCTGAGTAAAGGACTAAAGACCTGTTTCCTGTCACCCCAGAGGACAGAACAGTCCATTGTGGCCTTAAGAACAGAAAAAGGTTCCTTTTGAAAATAGACAGGAAGAAGAGTGTGGGAGTGGGCATGATGGGGAAGCAGCGGGCTCTTCATCACGGGATCTGCTCACCAGGAGGTCCTCTGTCATGGAGGCTTTTTACAGCAAACAAGTGGTGGGATTCAGCAGCCTCAATGGCTCTTCCCAGGTCTTCCCCTCTTTGTTGGCTATTCATAAAAAGTAGCCTTTTCCTTTCTTGTTTTAAGGTACATAAGTTATCCTCGAACAGAAACCAACATTTTCCCCAGAGACTTAAACCTCTCCCACCTGGTGCAGCTTCAGACCCAAGACCCCCACTGGGGAGGCTTTGCGCAAAGGATCCTAGACGGAGGTGGGCCAACCCCACGGCAAGGAACAAAATCAGATCAGGCTCACCCTCCCATTCATCCCACCAAATATGTCGGTAATTTGCAGGTGAGTCCACGTGGCTGGAGATCCTCTTGGCATCAGGTGCAGCTTTGCTTTTTAAGAGACAGCAATTTGTCACCTGTGCGTTTTGCTAGCCTGCCATTGCTGGGGGAATCTGAGAAGTAAATGAAGTATAAAGCGGTGTTTTATGAAGCGCCTTTTTACAAGAGGACAGGAATACCTTTTCCTCTTGATAAAAGTCTTCACTCTGACAATATTTATTCCTAGCACCTTCAGATGTGTATTGCAGGCCAACTCCGGGTCTCATTTGAAAAGGGAAGTGCCTCTGCTGGTAGATGCTTGGGAAGCACTGCTCCAGCGTGTGCAGAATTCCTTGCTGCTTGTGGAGAAGAGAAGGGCTATCTTAACATGTATAACATGTATACATGTATCTGTTTTTCCCCGTCTTTCTCCCCCCACAAAGGAAGTCTTAACTTTCTTCCAGTTGCTGTTCCCTTGACAATTTTCTTTGTATCCTACAAGGGGAATGACCAGCGCCTGTACGAATTCATTGTCCGGCACTTTCTGGCCTGCTGTTCCGAAGATGCTAAAGGGCAAGAAACAACGGTGGAGATTGATATTTCTAACGAGCGCTTCGTGGCTCATGGATTGATGATCCTCGCCAGAAATTACCTGGATGTCTACCCTTACGAAAGGTGGAGTGATAAGGTACAAGCGCTCGACAGAAGTTCATCTCCTTGGGAGAGGTGGTAGTATCTTGAGAGGGAGAGAAAAACTGCTCCCCACTCAGTCTCCATTTGAGCTATCAGTATATACCCTTCTTATTTCTCCCCTCCTTTTTTAGATGTCACGTGTAACCACATTTCCTCCCTGTCTTGTATTCTCTCGCTCCCCCCTGACTCTGCAGGTTATCCCTGTCTATGAGAAGGGGTCTTGCTTTCAACCCACCACAGTGGAGATGGTGGAAGGGGAGACCAGCCCACCCCAGCTGCTCACAGAAGCCGATCTCATTTCCCTGATGGAGAAACACGGCATTGGTCAGTTCTATGGTGCTGTGTATCAGAGATGGGCTCTCGCTCGTCTTCGGAGTTTCCGTTGGCCGGTGGTCCATGTGCCTAGTCCCCAAATGTGGCTCTTCTTCTGATTCCCTGCTGCAGAGGATTTTTCTGATGGGAAGCCTTCTGTGGAAAGCATGCTCTGGTGGCAGAAGAGGGCAATCCAAGAGCAGGAACAGAGAAAGGGTCTAAGGAGTGTAGGAATCCTGGCCAACAGGAGCGGGCGGGGATATTGAGGCTGGGCTGGATTCGGTCATGGTGGTCTTCAGGGACTGGAGCCAACTGAAACTCCTTGGTTTATGATGGAAATATTGCCAGGTGGGCATGGAACACATCTCTACTGTTTCCAAGTGTTGACTACAATTCCCAGCATGGAGTAGGGGATTGTTGAGAGTTGCATCTCTGGAAGGCCAAAGGTTAGAGTTAGGGTCAGTTGATGAATCTCTCAGGCAGTGTCTCTCAATCTTGGCAACTTTCAGATGGGTGGACCAACTCCCAGAATTCCCCAGGCAGAATTTGTGAACTTCAACTCCTAGAATTCCCCGGCTAGCATGGGTGGACTTTGACTCCCAGAATTGGCTGGGGAATTCTGGGAGTCAAAGTCCACCCATCTGAAAGTTCCAAGGTTGAGAAACATGGCTCTCAGGAATGTGAGCGGCAAAGAGCCCCGGGCCGATCGTGCGGTCCTTGAGAGCTCACAGGAATGCTTGACTTTCAGGGACTGACGCCACCCACGCGGAACACATTGAGACCATCAAGTCCCGCATGTATGTGGGGCTCACCCCAGACCAGAGGTTCCTGCCAGGACACCTGGGGATGGGGCTGGTTGAAGGTAAGAACTGGCCCTGCTGGCCTTGCCATCAAGCGTGTGTCATGGCTGGTTTGAGTGATTGTGAGTCTTCTCTTTTTGTTATTGTTGTCCTTTTTAACTCTGGTTCTTTTTGCTGTTTTTTATTCTGTTTTAATTGTGAGCAACCCAGAGTCTTGTATATGAGATGGGCGGCCGATAAATTTACTAAATAAGTAAAAAAGAACGGTGCTTCTCTGCCGCGTTGGGCTCCTCCTCCTCCTCTGAAATCTTTCGTCCGCCTTCCTTTCCCCCCTTGCCCCCAGGCTACGACTCCATGGGCTATGAGATGTCCAAACCTGATCTTCGAGCCGAACTAGAAAATGACTTGAAGCTGATGTGCGAGGGGAAGAAGGACAAGTCTGTCGTGCTCAGAGAGCAGATCCAGAAGTATAAGCAAGTCTTTGTGGCCGCTGTGGAGAAGGCCAAGAAGTGAGTGCTGAGAAATTCCTGCCCGAGTGGGGGACAACGGTGGGGCTTCATAACCCTTGCTGGAATGGCTTTGCTTTTCGTACAGCTGGGGTTGCAGTGGATGAAGAGGGAGAGGAAAGGCAGCCAAAAAACCACGGTTGGAAGCCCGCTTCTCCCCGAGGAGTGTAAATAAATCCCTCTGAGCCGTGGTTTCTTATTTGCAAGGGAAATACCCATTTCGCAAATTTAAAAAAGTGGATATGTAATATGTCATGGAACTTAATGGGGTCGGTGCTGCCAGCTCACTGCGGGATGGGGCTCAGGTCCTTCCTTGATGAAGATAAATTGTGTAAACAAAGAACTGCTAGTTATTTATCTATTAAATTTATATAGCTGCCCATCTTCCAAAAGAAGTTGGGCGGGGAGCAAAATAAATTCACGGTACAATAAAATGACAGTTTAAAACAATAAACTGCATTGAGGCCCCAATGAAAACTTACATCTGTCTTCCAAACAACTCGTGCTGGGCTGATAGATTCCAGCATCTGTTGGATCTAATGCTCGAGAGCAGGAGAGTGACAGGAGGCGGTTATGGTTATGTTCTTAATTGCTCTACCTTTTCATCTTTTAGGTCAAAAAGAATTATAAGGTACAGCCTTCCCTCTGAACTTACAGTATCCCTGTTTTCTGCATTTCACAGAAAGGGCCTTTAGCTGTACTTCCTTTTCAAAACAAAAACAAAAAAACTCTCCTGTCATTTTTCCCTTTCATTTCATTGCAAAGTTACCTCCTTTGGATCCCATCTCTCCTCCAGGGCACTGTGGCTTTCCAGAAGTTACTGGACTCCAGCCCCCGTGAACCTCTACCCGCTTAGTCAGCAGGCAGAGTTACGGAGAGGTGAAATCCAACAACACGTGGAAAGCCACAGGCTGTTTCTCCCTGGATTTTGCTCAAAAATCTCTCCTGAAATATGCCAATGTATCCATAAGTTTTCCGCACAAACGTGAACGATCCACGAATCCTTTGCCGGGCGTAGCTGATGGCAGGAAAAAGTAAGCGTGCTTCATTTTGTCTTTTCAGGCTGGATGAGGCTTTGTCTCAATATTTTGGGGAAGTGACCCGCGTTGCACAAGAAGAAGACATTTACCCTGCAATGCCAGATCCCGTTAGGAAATGCCCCCAGTGCAACTCTGACATGATCTTGAAGACCAAGAAGAACGGAGGGTGCGTTGGCCTCTTAGAAGAAGCACAACCTCTTCGTTTAAATAGCAGATATTTTATAGCAACTTTGCCCACACAAACGAACAAGCAAAAAATCCACAGACGTACTAGCTGGAAGAATGTTGAGCTCCCTAACTTGCCAGTTCAAATCACGCACGTCAATCAGAGGGAACGAACGAGGCCCGTACCTTGCAGTTTGCAGCAGCAGGAGTTTTAATGGGTTACTCGAGGGTAACTTTTAATTTCCATAGAAAAGCAGGTGGCTGACAACTGGCAGGCCTCAGGGGGATAATAAAATCTACTGGAATAGTGAACCTTTGCAGTGGCATTACCTGCCTGATTTCAAAAGCTAAGCAGGGCTAGACTTGGTTTGATTGTGGATGGGAGGCCACCAGGAAATCCAAAGAGACTGGCATGGGGAGCATTAAAAAAAAAAAATGCCAGAAGACGATTGTGGTAAACCATTTCTTTATTGTGGCCCAAACCCACCACAGACGTGTCCATAAAGCCACCAGAAATCAAACTGCACCAGGAAGACTTGACTCTTGCCTACTGGAGTCTGCCAAAGCAGCCCTAAGGCTTAAATCCCCTTTCATATTTACTCTCCTTCACAGCCCATTGATACTCTGGGGGAAGAACAAAGGGCATCCGCAGAGAAAACATCCCTGTTTTATCCCTCTTGACTGTCCCCTGCAACTAGACCCATTTTGACCGCTAGTGCATCTCCGGCCCGGTCTGAGGCTTCCTCTGTGTTTCCCTAGCTTTTATCTCAGCTGCTTGGGCTACCCCGCTTGTAAATCTGCGATCTGGTTTCCTGACTCCGTGTTGGAAGTCAGCAAGGATAATTCCGTCTGCGACGTCTGCAAGCCACCCCCGGTGCATCGGTGAGTCTCGGTACAGGGAAGAATTTGAGCTGTCTTTCGTGTGCAGTTTGGAATGTCCTGAGCAGTCGATTTTTGCACTGCCTAAAAATTCAGGGCGTGTTTGCATTTCAACTGAGTGTGTGCGCTGCCCCCACCCTCCGACCCGGGAAACCTGTAGGAGGAAATTTATCCGGCCTACGGCACAAGGTTCGCCCTCAGCACCACCAGCTGGAGGGAAAGCCTCTTTGCTGGTGCTTGGGAGTAGTGCAGCTGTTTGTGCACACTTGATCACTCAGTTTACACTAAACTCAAGCATTCACTTGCTCTCTCTTTCCATATCTTAACAACCCTGGGCAGACAACCCTCTTTGTAAGATCTTGAGATCAGAGTCCATTGGCAGATGGTCATTTGGGGGCAGGAGTTGAACAGAAGCTTCCATGCTGTTGGGCTGCAGGGCCAGAAGTCCAGGGCTAATTGCTCCTCTCCTCCCCTGCAGGCTGAAATTGAGATTCAAGCGGGGCAGCCTCCCTGCCATGATGCCTCTGGAATTTGTGGGTTGCATCGGTGGCTGCGATGAAAATCTCAGGGAGATCCTAGATCTGAAGTACCTACAAGGCCCAGCCAGGGCTCCACCTCAGCCAAGTCATTTCTCCCATGATGTCCACCGTTCCCTTAACGGGACGATCCCCAGCCATGGCCAGCGCTCGCTTGCTCCTCTGCCTGCCCCTGCCACGGCACCCAGGACTCCTGCAGTGCACACTGATGTCGGTGAGAACAACGCCGTGGTGTGCAACTGCGGAGAGGAGGCCCTGCTGCTCACGGTCCGGAAGGAGGGGCCGAACCATGGCAGGCAGTTTTACAAATGCAGCACTGGCAGCTGCCGATTCTTCCTGTGGTCCGACCAGCAGCAGCCAGACAACAGGCAGAACGGGATGGCCGGGCTACTGGCACTGCCCCCAAGCTCTTTCCTGCCAGGGCAAAGAAGCACGGCAGGTCCCGGGAGGGAAGGTGCCAATCCAGGAGCCAGCGCTGGCCGAGGTGGCGCTCTCTGCAGATGCGAGCAGCCCGTGGTCACCAGGACGGTCCAGAAGGAAGGACCCAACAAGGGGCGCCAGTTCCACACCTGCTCCAAACCGAGGGAGCAGCAGTGCGGCTTTTTTGAGTGGGCAGATGAGAGCCCATTGCCTGGTAAGTGAGGGGTGGGCATCTTTGGACGGGCAGGAACGGCAGGGGCAGGATTGGCAGGGAGGGGATTTGCACAGTCCTTTTCTAAATAAACTTGCCTTCAGGTCTTCCGTTATAGCTTGGAGTCTTCCCCAGCTCAAAATGGCAGGAAGCTACACCATGAGCTTCAGCGAGTATTGGGGTGGGGGAGAGGTCAGGGGCTGTAGCTGACCCCCATAGTTGCACCGAACTGGGGAACCAGTTTCTCAACACCGCATCACGTCCTGGCCAACCCAGAGTTTGGAGTGGCTCGTTGGGCTCTCAAGGCTGTGGCTTCTATTTCGCCACATCCAGAGGTGTTGGAACGGCAACTTCCAAAGTTCCCGGCAGGTTCAGACAGAGGATGCCAAAATGGGGGGAATCTGTTCCCAGGTGACTCAAAACTCCCCAAATCTTTTCCGCTCCTTCTGTTGCAGCAGCCACCACCTTTCCTTCAAGCCGCTCCACGGGAGAATGGGCCCAGCGGGGGCCAGGAACCAAAGCTAAAAGATCAAACAGCGATTCCTCCTTGACGGCACCTATGAAGAGACCGAGGACGTGCAGCCTCTGCCACCAGCCTGGTCACACCAAGACGACGTGTCCGCAAAATCACTGAAGCAGCGTGGCCCATGATGAGCCCAGGCTGATTTGCCCAGGGGACTCCAGGCCTGTTTGCAAACAGAAGCGCTGAAGTGGTGGAACACCAGCCTCTTCCGGAAGTGGACTGCTGAAAGATCAGGCTTGTTTCTTGCAAAGCAGGGACGCCCAGACCTCAGTTCTCCACATATTCTAAGTTTCAAAGAATAGGTGGGATTGGGGAGACTTTAGACTGTACCGCTTTGCTGACTTGCATGATTTAAAAAGCTTTTCTTTGGGAATTTAAATGGGGAGGGTGTGTTTCTCAAAGAACTGAAACTCATTTTTAGGACTCGGGCTTTCTTAGAGAATGTAATTTTGAAGCTGAGCAAACTTTTCCTGTGTACAAATCCTACCCCACCCCGTGAATGAGATGACTTGATAATTTATTCAAAAGGAGAATATATAAAACGCGTATAAAAACAGCAGAGTTTAAGCTCAGTATTTCTAACTTGTGTCCTGCTAAATGCTATATTCTCATGATCAAAAGGGCAGCCACTGCCCAGGTCCAAACTGATGTGGATATTTTTTAAATTAAAATATATGTTTGATTTAAACTTTGTGTGTTGGGCGTTCCAGTATTTAGCCGTATCTAAGGAGTACTGAAAGTATCACAAGTTCACATCAAAGGTTAGTTTATGGTTTGCGGAGTTCACAGTGTCTTGAGGTGTGTGTATGTGGCAAGTTGTGGGAACTGGCTTTGCATTTTACAAGTCAAAGGCAAGGTGGCCATTTTCTCCTACTAAAGGGCAGCAAAACCATTGCATTTCCCTCTTCAGCTTTAAGACAGAAGCTAAGCCTTCAAAGAACTAATTTCTCACTATGGAGTTTTCAGTTGCGGTCAGCAAAATATACTGAGGTTAAAACAATTTTACAAGGCTCACAAATCTCTTTGGGGAAAGTGCTTTTTATTCTGAAATGCACCTTCACATTTTTCTGTAAAGTCTCACAGTTTAACGTTTCTATGGAGCCCAGACATCACTGCAAATACAACAGGAGCTTTTATTTTCCTTGCAGCAGTCTTTTAAGAATATCAGCACTCAGATCATCCCATCATAAACATGCATATGCAGGATTTTCCTTCAAACAACATATGGAAGTTTGGTTCTCAAACCTTAGTAAGAAAGCAGCACTTGGTGGGAGGAAAAGAGCTCGTTTTTTTTAAAGATCAGGTAAGCAAGCATTTGGCAATAACCACCCCCCCACCCACCCCCGTTCACAAGTCATGTACTTAGCAGAACTGCAGAAATTCAAATCGTTTGTGTGAAATGGCTCATTTCCTGAAAGTTCTGCTCCCCTGATGTCTGTATCTGCTGTGACTTCACCTCAACCCCCACCCCCTTTGGGAGTAATCTCATTGTAACTGGCCACTTTTAAAAGTAAAACTCTATACCACAATAATGACTGATTTCTGCTGTCCGGTGGCTGAAGCCACAAAGTACCTTGGAATAACTTTGCCAATGCAAAAAGATAGTATACAGGAAAACACTACAGAATTATCTGCTGTAGAATGTCTATCTGTTCTAGCTGAATTAAAAAAAGGGAGGGAGGGAGGAATGGAATTGTCAGCTGAGTAACACAGATCTGCACTGCTAAAATCCAGATGACCAGTGCATGGCAGCAGAGAAATCCAGAAAACTGACGTAATTGTCACCAACAAAGGGCCATCTGTGTTTCTGTAGCCCAGATCAGGCAGCCCCACGACACGCAGGCAAAGTCACCACAATAAGTAGATGCTGCTTCCTGTTGAAGGAAGGGATCTGTTCTTTCAGTTGTAAACGCCGAGGAACGGGGCCTTCCCGTTCGCAACCCCAAACAGCCATTCCTCACCAGCTACCCTGCAGCACGGCACAATTAACAAGTTCCTTAGGATTGGTAACTCAGAGGCTGAGAAATGGTCTGGGATGGCAGATACAGATCACCTCATTCACCAGGTCCCAAACTTTCGACTCCCCCCATTCTCCTCTTCGGCCCTGGATTACCTTTTGAGTACCACCCACTCATATAACTGGCTCAACTGCACACCAGTAAGGTAGACAAAGGAATCCCCCCACGAAGATCAGGATGCTGTCCAACCAGGAAAGTTTACCCTTCCTTAACTGGCAGAGTTCCTAGACCCCTTGATTTTAAACCCCTCCCCAAAAGTTGCTCCAAATCACCAGAGCAGCTCCAGTCTGCCCAAAAGCCACTGCAAATAGCCCCTCTGGTCTGCCCCTCCCATGGCCTGAGGGACAGGCTCCCTGTTTGCATCCCTCCACAACTGGCAGAGCTCACTTCTGAAAATGGGGTCTCTTTTTGCCTGGTTGAGAATCAAAGCAAGGCAAGGTTCCTGCTCACTTAAGGCTTACAACTTGAGAAACACGTGGAGGGAGGCAAAGGCTGGCGGGCAGGACTCCCCAGTCTACCACAGTGAGAAGAGCTGCAGCAGGCTGCTGAAGTTATTGAATGGCCTAACTTCCAACATCAACGTGGTGGAACCCTTCCCCTTGAGCACCCAAAAGCCTATGAATATTTTCACGGTAAATGCTAACGAGTTTCTGGGTGCTCAGAATGGACATGAGATATCAAAGTATCTTTTCCAATTGGGCAGCAAAGCAGATATGTCTCAACAGCTCAGAGCACTGGGTAGGGCATTAGATTTGCAGATCCACAAGATTTCAGCACTAGAACCCTAGCAATGGGGAAATCCAAGAGAAGGGAAGGGGGATCTAGCTACGTGTGCGGCTTCTCCCTCTGTCATCCCAACCCTGCCATCTCGTCCTATGAAGAAACAAGGAACGCAATCACCGGGGAAGAACATCAGCTCGGGATGGCAAAAGAATCCGGTAAGACAGCAATAACAGAAGGCCTTACAATCAAGGGCCATTTTACTTCAAGAGCTAATACTTTTCATTTCATTAGGTGCAAAGAATTGCAATTGGGGTTAATGGGACCCTTTCAAGTCTTCTCCATCCCAAAGGGAACAAGTATTCTCTCCAGCGGGATCTCTCTTTATAAACCCAGTCCATCCGCAAGATCTGGTGCTGCCAAAGCCTCATACAATGTACAGCCAATCTCATCAATCTCCTCCAAGAGCAGATGGCTGAAGAGGTTGATCTTGTCATCAAAAAAGCAAGGGAGAGAACCTCTGGCCAAGTACTGGACCAGCTCTTCCAACACTTGCTGGAGCCTCACCGCCAGCATCCCCTCTGACCAGTCCAGCTCAGTTTTGCTCAGGTGGAGGATAACATGAGTCAAGTGACTGCCAGTTAATTTGCTCCAGAAAGGATGATTTTCAAAGGTGGCCTTCAAGATGCTGAGACAACATTGCCGAACACCAGAATCTCCAGCATCCAGATCTTTCAGCTTGGAAACCTCCAGTGCATAAAAACTCTGCTGCCAGAGGTTCTCCACAGGTTCTTCAAAAGATGTGGCAAGAAGAATCTTGCCTTCTGCTTCTACCATGGGGCAGAGGGTTATGTCCAGAAGGACCTGTTCGTGTTTGACTTCCAGCTTGAGCTCCCTGGGAGCCATTGCAGGCCGGATGATGCATTCCAACATGCTGCCAATGACTGGCCAGTTGATAGAGGCCACCAATATCTTATGGAGGGCATCATTGATGGTATTGGATGATAGATATCCACCTACAATGAACTTGTCGCAAGGGCTACTTCCTCGCGTGAAATACTCTAGGCCACTTCGTTTGATCATCCCATACCATGAGTTATCCATGAGCGTCTCTTCACCAGGGATCAGGTGCCAAAGATTATCTTCTAGGACTAAGGGAAGCATGAAGACCACCTCAAGGCGGTTGCAGCCAACAAGGTCATCACAAAGGTAGCCGCTAAGGAAAATATTCCCAAAGGGCAGATCCAAAGATTTGTTTTTCAGGAAGTTCTGCAGCTCCACACGGATGTCTTCTGCGAGCTGCTTCCCAACAGCCTTTTTGGTCTCAGAAACAGAGACATGATCTCTGTAGAATGAGAGAAGCTTCTCCTGAAGCGTGAGGCAGAGCAGGGATTTTGACTGCCCCAAAGAGACCGCCGAAGACAGGATAAGATCTTTAGAGTCTGCAAAGAGGGATGAATAAAGAAGACAAAGAACTTATGTAAGTTACAGGAAGCCAAATTCCAGTTCATTCCCAGAAAAAATGTTCTAGCCTAACAGCAGTTTGAGAATGGAACCAAGGATTTGTAGGTTCCCCTTCCAAGCAGAAGCTAGACAACCATCAATCAGGGGTGCTTTAACTTGGATTTTGGTACTGCGTAGGGACTTGGAACCAATGGCTTGCAATCAAGGGTCCCATCCAGTTCGGGTTCTGCAATTCTGCTGTAAATTTACAAGGCCACCCTGGAGAAATAACCCCCATCACCGCTGTGGCAGAAGAGAGCATGAGGATTGGAGCAGGTGTTCTCAGGAAGTGCCCAATCATGGAAAAATGGGACGCGACAACACCCAACCTGACCTTGCGCAGGTACAGCTACGACCGGAGATAAAAGTGGCTCCTCGAGATCTTGTCGGCGCACCTTGGGCACCCCCTTGATCAGGCTTAGCTCTTGCCAGCTTTCCTCAAGGGACTTCTGCTTGGCTTTTATGTCGTCGTCATCATCTGGGGGGCTGGTGGCTCGGTCAATGAACTGTAGAAGAAGAGACCCTTCCCCAGTCAGCAGGAGCTTCAGTTCTCCTGAGGCAATCCAGCTGAACATGAATTTCCACCTGCACCCAGGTGGTTTTAGAGGGTTTCCTCAGGGAAACATCCACATGCGTCTGGGCCTTCCTATCAGATTACTCCAGGGCAGTCTCCTATGCTGGTCTGCCACCAGATGCCTTCCCCCAGCAAAAACACACACCCCAATGTAAAAAATAAACCCTGAATGGCAAACTGTTGCTGAGGAAGGGGACCGAACCAATCTCAAGCTTGCATATCCACCCACTTCGTGTTTAAACACGTTGCCTGTCTCTTTAGTGTCCACAGAGTTAATTTGCCAACCTTCAGGGGTGTGGCCAGGCCCCTTCAAAGTGCTGCTTCCTAGTTTTTACAATTCTAAACAGGCCAGAACTGGGATATTTAAAGAACTGACCCGAGAGACCATATTCTGTGTCCTGGTGGTAGCAGAAGCGTTGATGGTGCCAGGGAGAAGTTCTGCTACGTTAATCCCCCTGCTTTCAAGATACAAGACTCTGACCTGTTCTACTGCCAGTTGACCAATTATTTTAATAATCAACTCCCAATATTTTTCATTCCCTATCTTCATCGAAGTGTGTTTTGGCACGTACGCACGCATGCATACACACATATTTAATGCTCCACTAAGCTACAACAAGGAGAAGCATGAAAAGAAAGATTGCATTGTGGGTGTTTACAAATCCTGCTTCCACACGTAATCCATTGAGGGCTTCCCTTTCAACCGAAGAGAGGCCACCAGAAACGTTTAGGGCATGAATAGATTTTCCCCAACCCATCCAGAGTAAAGCCGGAATGCCTGTGCCTCTGGGGGGCCTGGTTGGCTGAGCAGACGTGAAAAGCTCCTGCTGCACACTTGCACTCACAATCGCCACGAAACAAAAGGCAGCTAACAATGAGCGGAAACGGCTCCCCAACGGCACAGGCATCACACAAATACGTGAGCTGTAAGCGGCAAGGAAGGGCCCCTTGGTCTCACCCTCTTGACGGCCAGCGTTGCGAGTGCCAACACAGCCGCTCCACTGACCCCCAGGACCACCCTGGCGTTAGCCAGCAGCAAGTCCAGCAGGCTGCCCAGGCTGCCCTCATCCTGCCTCTTCCCCTGCTTGCCGGTTGCCATCATCCGTCTTCAGAAAATAAATGCCAATTTGGCCAGTGCCAGGAAAAAGTCTTTATGGGTTCAGCCAGGAGAAGGAAGCCAGGTTCAGCAAGGGCCAGGACATTCTTGGATGCGTTCAGACCTGGAACAGGCAGAGAAGAGAATTAGCTACAGGTTAAGTGACGTTTATCTATCATCTATCCATCCAGAAGGAGCTAAAATAAAGCAAAACCCAAAGGTAGAAATGGAAACCTATTCAGACAACAAAGATGTCCCACATCAGCGTGGACAACGCATTGCAAAGGACAACGAAGTCTTAGCAGGACGAGCTGAGATTCTAACATCAGTGCGTAAACAACCATGGTGTTCCCGTCTGACAGGCAGAAGAATTCCGGACCGTGAAGAGAGATTCTGTGCGGCTCTTGCGCCAGCCCGGCGGGAGGCCTGGATAACCGAAGCTGATCTCAGCCACTGGCCGGTCTGGCTGAGTTTTGTCTCTTCCAGCCTTCTCAATGGCAACTGTTATCAGAGACTCTGTTCAGCTGGAAATGCCTGGACTGGGAGCCCCCCCCACCACCACCAAGCAAGTGTGCTGTCACATGATGCCACTCGTGTTCTTCTCCGTCGCCTTGAGCCCTGCAGGCTGGAGATTAGCCAAAGAGCTGAAGTCCAACCTGGCCCCAGGTGAGGGAAGATGAAAGGTCAAGGTGCCTCCAAGCCCAACTCAACTCCTGATGAACTCCATTAACACCAGGGAGTGAACAATGTCCTTGGCACGGACATGGTACTGACCACCCACATCTTCTGGATGACTGCTCAACCTCGGGGTCTAACATCCAGCCTTGGGAGTTCCTAGCACCTTCTCATCCAAGGCCTAGCCTGTTCTAGCCCAGCTTAGCTTTTTTAGCTCAGCCAAGGTCAGCTACGTGCTGAAGAATTGCTGGACACTGCCCCAAGGCCACAGGGGACCGAAATGAAATAAATACAGTATCATTCCATGATAATTTAAAAGTTAACCAAAAAAAATCAGCATTTTGGCAGAAGAATCCTGTGAGGAAGTTCTCTCCTGGTGGTTCCCACTAGTCTGAACCGTGCTGTAAAGCAATGCTTCTCAGTGGTGGCAACTTTAAGAGGGGGGGACTTCAACTCCCAGAATTCCCCAGCCAGCCTGCTGTAAAGTACCCACACAGGCAAAAGTCAGGGCCAGTTCTGTAGGCAAGGCTGCCAACCTTTGCGGGGCCCAGAGGAGTGCCTGTTGAGGGCACTCCAGCTCTGAAAGTCTCTTCCTCCCCCACTATAATCCAGCTGGCATTTATGAGTCAGGACACTCCATAAAACGTTGTCATGGGGACAGAGAACCAACGCAAACCTCAGCCAAGATCCTGCCAGCCTTCAAAAGCTGCCATCCTTACGGCCCTAAGCATGGTGGCTTCCGTCTTCCCAATCTGAAAGAAAAGCGCTTCGCTACAGGTCCCACTCCTGAAGCCGGCGGGTGCCGACCACCCCGGAGGACACCCCCAGAACGCTCACCACTGGAGCTCTGCGAATTCTGCCTCCACATCCCAAAGACCTCCAAGGACAGACGGTCAAAATCCTAAATTACAGCACCACCCGGGGGGGAGAATGGGGTCAGGTTTCCGGATGCTATTTTTGAAGCAGCGTAACAATATCTCGGCACCGGCAGCCTGTCTCATTCCGGATCCCTTCAGGGGATCCACCATCAGTTCCAAAGGGGCAGGTAGGGATTGACCAGACCGCACTGGCCCCTAAAGCAGAGGGCTCCTAAGCACGTGCAGAGGGTGCTGCCTATCCCTGCCCAGCAACATTGCCGCCCTCATCTAGCTGAATGCAGTGACAAGGGTGAATGCTTAGCTAACTTTGTGCCTACGGTGCCTTCAACTGTGAACTTCTTCCAGGGAGCCTAATTTGGCCCCTGACCAAGTCCTTCTAGGGATCAGAGGGATTCTCACGCTGACCAGAGCTGCGATTTTAGGGTGGCTGATGTTCCTTTTCCCCCAGGTTCCCCACCGCCGCTCCTTCGCTTATCACTGTTTTCATTCTGTTTCTGACCTGGCTTGGATACCCTTGAAAAGGATCTGGGGCAGGAGGGGGGCTGGAAAATGACCTTTTCCACTTTAAATCCTAGAAACCGCCACCTATTTGGTGGAGGCCAATGGCCCAAGTGTGGATTGAGAAAAACCTTACAGATATGACCCTTCTCAACCTCATCATGCGCCATCAAGTAACGCACCTGCCCGCAAAGCAACAGAGTTGTTGGGATCAAGGAAGGCCTTGATCTTTCCAGGTTTAGCCCCCCCCCCCCCCC